TTTTGTTGTCGATTGTGTGTAATCTATGATGTTGCGTGTATTCAACAATGGTGTGTGAAGCATGATTGGCTATTATTAAAACAACATTGCTCTGTCCGGCTAAATGTTTTGTATTTTTGCATTTTTTTATTTGATAAATGCTATGCAAAGTAAATCAGAAGATATACCCCCGCGCTGCAGGAAACATTCCCAACCACTGTATGCAATAGACATCTTTTTAAGAAAATGTATTTACGCATATAAGCAAGTTAACGAGTCATTAGTTTCTGATGATAATGGGAAATCAAGATATTTCACTAGCCATCAATGAGAGACGGACTAAAGCTTCTTTGGCCATATCTATTAGTAGTTTTGTCTGCCGTGTGACAGTGCTTTTGGTACCGAAGGGTGAACAAAATTATAATAATCACCATATATGTTTAATTAGTAATTGATATGAGACTTGTGATGTAAAATCTTTCGGGAGACAGTAATGTGCAAAGCTTCTGCATCTATATAGTTACTGCGTTTGCGAGCTTCTATAAAAGAACTGAAAAAGTTCTAAGTAATTGTATTAGTTTAAAAACACTATATTTCCGATGATATTTTATGTCATTTTAGTTAAAATGGAATTCATTCTCTAAACATTTTACCTCACGCACTTTTGGTACATTGTGGTATAAATGCAATACCGGTGATAGTTTCACCATGATGAATGCCTGCATCTACATAGATCCATAGAGATAATTTCACTCGTGTTTTAAAATTGGTGTTTAGAGCATTAAATTAATGTTTTTAAGGAGTTTGCTATTTTTTCCGGAGCACATTATCTTATTCCGTAGATGTATTCTGAATATTGTTTAAATATTGATGTTAAGGGGACGTTTGACATTAAAAGGCTTAATAATAATAATAATTAGCATTATAAATGACACAGATATCGCATGTTTTGTTCTTTTGTGCATTCATATTTTGATTGCTTTAGAGATCGAAGGAATCAAACAAGCCAGCAGTACTTTATAAGGATCCAGATGGGCAGAGACCCGACCCCCTTTTTCCTGGATCCAAAGAAAAAGTCGAAATTTGCATTTACCCTTTCCCAAAGTAACATATCTTCCCAAAGACTTACAGTGACGGTTGAAAGCATGTCACTTAAAATATTAACGCTGAACACAGCATTGAAAAATGCCCTGAATTACATTTTATTTTCAGAAATGTTGTAGAAAGGGGCTAAGGCGGTAAAATAATTCCCTCCTCGATGCCTCAGATCCTCTTGTGATTGCCCAACATTTGAACAAAAAGGTTGTCCCGGAAATATACGGAATTGGAGGTTGGACAACATTTTTGATCAAGAGTGTATACACTTAATGCTTATTGAATGTTTTACTTTTTTGAATGATATGCACTTCATACGATTAAAAAATGCATAATTAACTGCTTTTCATATAATCCAAGTTTTTCATTATATCTTTGTGCTACACTAAAAATTTGACTTCTATGAATTTTATTCATTATTATGCCTTTTCAAATGTGCAGTAAAAAAGTGCCATCAACCACTGACATTTGTGCTGGGTGTCTGACTTGAGCAAATTGAAAAAGAAGTCGAGATATTCGTCTCTAAAATAAGGGAAGTATTTTGGTATGCATGAATTAATTCTAGGAATAGGTTTTACTACTGTCGTCACTACAATTACCCTTCGTCTGCGATATTTCTGAAAAAATACGTCACATATAAAAATGTATCATTATTTTGAATTGAACAACTAAATACATCCTTTACGCAATCGTTTCTCCGTCGTATGAGTGGGATTTGACTATATATATATAAATGATCCGAATTTCAAACAGAGATCGCATAAGAGTAGACGCGCTTGTACACACACTGGACAAAAGAAGTGTCACCCCTACTGAGCCAATACTATGGGGGAGATAAATGACTGTGGAATGATATGCTCCTGGTATCATTTTATTAACATCAAATTTCACAAAAAATCACAAAATGAGAACAAAATATACATTCTACCAAATTATGTAGTTACAAGTCCAAAATTAGTACTTAGTGGCATAGCCACTTGACCTAATAANCCTGATACTTTCTTTCTGGAGGTCAAATAATAATCCACAATATTCCTTTTCACTCGGAAGTTTTGACTCTCTATGTTAATTTCTAATAATTAAAACTATTAAAACTATGGGTGTCCTGATTGTATCTACGTAATATCATACCATACACTGTATGTGGTTTTTGATTGAAAAGCGTTAAATGACTTTCACGGCCTTATGAGAAACTGAAGTGATACAATTCTTTTAAAATTCTATAATTTTCCTTTTTTGTGTCGTGTTAATATTTAAAAAAAACAATCCTGAAATGAAACTTACTTTGGCCTGCTCATAAGAAATCCCGTTGTCCTTTGCAAGCTGTGCTATCTGTGTTTGTGTCACTAGAATAAATGGAATGCTGTAAATATCATTTAACATCAGCTACTAAAGGGATTCATACGGGGCTTTCAAAATGTTGATCTCGTTACCCAGTGATAGTTTGAACTTTCTAACATCTCAAAAACAATTTCACGAACTTATTGCCGCTGGTTCTTCTTGTATGGTGTATTTTCTGGTCGAAACGTATCTAGTACTACATTAAATCACTTTCTTTCGCCAAAAAGGCAGTAAAGAACGATCTTCGCGTAATAAAACACTAACTATTCTTATCATTTACGAAAGTTTTTTTTTTTTTACCCATCTGTTGTTTCTTACCAGCTGTTTCTACAAACCCTGGACATATAGTATTACATGTGATGCCGTATTCAACTACCTCCAGCGCAATACCCTGAAGTAAAATTAAACCACCTTTAAACCAACTGTTTGGAAAAATACAATTAATAGCCTAACTAAGAAGCGTGCTTAAGGATTTTTAAAGGTAATTCTTGTTAGCAGGTAGACGCCCGTTAACAGTCATTTGCTGTGAAATTATCAATCACCAGTGCATCATCACCCAGTCCGTAAAGTAAGCGACGGGGGTTTCTCAAGACACATAATAATGATATAAATCTTTAAAGGCTGATTTCAAGGCAAAATATTTGTATTATTCATCCAATAGGTGTAACATATCCATCTACACTAGATCATCGAGAGCATTCCCTTTCGGTGTGACTTAACTACTGGTCACACTGCAATAAATGCATTAAGTTAAGACGACAGAAGAAACAGTGTTTTTATTCTAATTTTCAGTTTATAACAGATCTCTCCTTTGCCAATCCCACAACGCCATGTTTAACTGCGCTGTACACAGCTTTCCCTGCTGTCGATATCATACCGTGCACAGAAGAAGTGATGACGATGCGCCCACAGCCTTGCGTGAAAAAAAAAGAAAATCATGACCAAAATAATCCTAAAATACTTCTCACTGCATTGCATAGCGAATAAAGACAGAAAATGACTGGTACTAAATAATGTTTTACAATTTTTACCTTTTTCACATTTTTCTTTCTCCGATTGCCATTTTCGTGGTATATTAAACCGGTTATCCCTGATCACAACTCAGCATAGCTTACCCTTTTTCTTCATGAGTGGTATAAACCTTTTGCAGAGGTGAAAAGGAGCTGACAGCATGACTGCCACCATGTCGTCCCATTTCTCCTCAGGGTATTCCTCAACAAGGCAGACGTGATTGTATCCTAAAACGTAACCAAAATAGTGACCAACATAAATGAATAAATAAATAAATATGTGCATATAGCTATTTTAATCTTAAGAGATAATAACAGAAACAAATAGGAGAAAGCATCAAAAGTCATTTCACTCCACATTCATCTAAAACAGTTTTAAAACCACATCATAACTATTGACAACAATTGAGAAAATCACACGACTAATTCGACATGTACAACTTAAAAAATAAATCTCAATTCGTTTCCAAAGCCACCGTGCAGTGTCAGCCATTTCAGCTGTCTTTGTATGCGCACCTGCATTATTAATTAGAACGTCCACGCCCTCTGGATATAACTTGATGACACTGGTGAACAGCTCATTGATGTCTGCAACCTTACTGAGGTCTGTCGCAATGTAATCAACTCGACACTTATATTTGCTAAAATAAAAGAATTTAAATAAAGATTAACCAAAAATAGTCTTGAAACTGAAACAGGCCTACATCCGAAACTGTACGATTATCCGATCTTTCCATTATCAAATCTTACAAATTACAAAACAGCTGTGAAATTATCATGCCACGTTACATAAGAATAAATACACGTATCTCCATATGACATGCATGGTGACGATCGTATACTCCCCTACCAAAGAAAGTGTCACCACTACTGCAATGAGTAAAAGTATACAGAAAAAAGACATAGACTTATATTTTTTATTCAATTTCTAGAACGATTTTTGACAAAAGTTAAGGTGTTGGACCACCAATGATTAAAAGGACCACAGTAAAAATGTCAAAGTCACATCTTAGTGCTTTGCACAGCATTCTGTTGATTGAAGAACGCACCTGACACGTGCAAGATGCCAGGAAGATTCTTAAATGTTTGCGGGGTGACGACGTTCCACATACGACACAAAGTCAGGATAAGAACATTTCTGTCTGTAGGTTTAACCCTCAGCAATCCTTTTCTGAGTATTTCTGACACATTTGGAAGTTGCGCTGGCCATTAGAAGGTGGGGGCTGGATCTGGTTCGCATATACCAAGTCTTCTGTTTCATTGGCTTTTTGTGGTGTAACCTAATCATGGTGACACACAACTGGGTGGGCACGGTCCCCAAAATTTTCTCGATAGAACAGAATGCCCTAAGTTCCTTTCCCGATGTAACGAAACTGAGGGTCCTTGTAACTGAAAATCCGCCCTCCATATAGTTACAATGGTTAGGGTTAGCCTGACCTAATTAAGTGGGTCAAAATCTAGGCTGCGGCTTTCCTGTACAAATGAATGGGAAGCGGACTACCTATCATGGGGGACTCTCTGTCACGTAACACCGGGCTTGGATGTTATGCTCTGTGTTAACTTTCCTGCTGACCGCTACCAGCTTGCAAATGCCATGGTAGACAAAACGTCCACATGTCAATCACTTCTGTCAACCATGAATCTCATTTGAAACAGTGCCATTCACCAGTTTTTGGGTGGTGCCTCTGCCAGAGTTCTGGTATACCAGCTGACTCGTGTTAGCATTCCCTCTTCTCTGGATGTGGTAACCGCGTCGTCTCTTTAAGTCGGACTGAATCAGAGCCAGGAAATCCTAGCCATGTTCCTGTTTGGTTATGACGTTGTTTAACCCTCTGAAGGTTTCTATGAAACAACTCCCTCCTGTGTCCACTGTATGGACAACATTATAAAATATAAGAGATAATGGGTCTTTTGATGGTCATGCTGGGACAGTGCACTACCTCTCGCTTCTCTTATTTGCTCGATATTTGGTTGTGTGAACATTGTGTAATAATATAATTAAATCTATGGGTAGCACTGTGCTAGCAATATGCATAAATGCTTTAGGGGAGACAGTTTTTTGGTAGGGGATTTTACTTTGAAATGATGAGCCAGTGCTCACTCGTTGCCCTTTATCCGGAGACGTACCCAAATCCCAAAGGCCATCACTGTTTAGAAAGCAATATACACACACTGGACAAAAGAAGTGTCACCCCTACTGAGCCAATACTATGGGGGAGATAAATGACTGTGGAATGATATGCTCCTGGTATCATTTTATTAACATCAAATTTCACAAAAAATCACAAAATGAGAACAAAATATACATTCTAAAAAAATATGTAGTTTCAAGTCCAAAATTAGTACTTAGTGGCATAGCCACGTGACCTAATAATAGGTGCCAGTCTACGAAGCAAGGATTCATTTAATTGTCTGATGCGTTCAGGGCTTATGCTGGCCCAAGCATGAAACACTGAATATAACAGAGTTTCTCTGCTGGTTAGACGGGCATTTGTAAAAAGTTTTGACATATCATTCCACACATTTTCTATTATGTTTGTATCCGGACTCTGGGCAGGCCACATCACCCTGCGAATGTCCTGTTGGTCAAACCAATCATCAACTGCTCTGGGCCTGTGACAAGGAGCATTGTCATCCTGGTGAACAGATGGATAATTCCTTTCACCAAACATGTTAGTAATAGATGGTAGCAAGCCTGACTCCAAAACATCGATATATTTCTAGTGATTCATGTTTCCATTAACCACTATCAATTCGCCCAAGCCATGGATGCTGATGCAGCCCCACACCATGATGAATATGCTGCTCCGGGTTCGAAAATTCAGTGCATGTGGTTCAAATGCTTTACCAGCAGTTTGCCAGCATAGTACCCGTCTGTCATCAGAGGTCAGACCAAAGCGACACTCATCAGAAAAAATATATAGGACCAATTGTCATGAACTGTCCAGTTCCAGATCCTGTTGACCCTAGTTTACTCTACGTTGCCTGTTTTGTAACGATATAAGAGGTTTCAGTCTTGCTACCCTGCTGTACACTCTCTGAGCATGTAACCGACGCCTAGAAATTTTCACAGACACATTCTTATGTGTGAAATTGTTCCACTGTGTTGTCAACTGACAAGCAGTGTCGAACTTTGACAACCTGGACATCAAAATCAGTCGTCGGTCTTCACGGCCAGTATTTTTTCTTGGACGACCCATCAGAGGCAATTTGTCTCTTGATCCAGTGTTTCTATACCGAGACCAGATCCTCTGCACGGTTCTGACTGAACAATTCAATTGTATCGATATTCTGACATTGCTTATATTCCGCCTCTTCAGGTTAATAACTTGCATCTATAACCGTTAGATAATTACCTGTATCTTGCCATACTGGAGGAAGACAGGAATAACATTTGCTGTACATGTACAAGACCAACAATACAATTCCATGGTATAGCGGTTTTATACTCATTAGTCACATTATAAGTAGACCAGGTATTATAAGTACCCAAGATCTGCCTACTTTCATTACTCTGAGTTAGGGGGTGACACTTCTTTTGTCCAGTGTGTGTAGGCCTTTTTGCAGCATTACATTTGTTTTACCCAGGGAAGACCTCAGTTAAACTGGGCATTAAGACAAACAGGTAAAACGTGATTTAACAATTGAATTTTGCCATATGCTTATACCGGAAGTCGACACATCACCTGGAGAAATCCTCCTTCAGTTTACTGGTCAGTTGCTCGTCACCGAAGCCTGTCAGGATGATGCTGGCGCCCGTCTTTGCCAAAACGTGGGCAATGGCAAGCCCAATCCCACTGGTGGAACCTGTCACTAGCTCAACCTTGCCGTCCAAGTGCCGTTCAACGCTCATTATATTGTAGTTAACCTTTTCAGTCTCCAGTGAGCAGGTGTATGTATGTGGTATAACAGAACCAGCAGCTGCGGGCACGAACGTGCCGTCGCACACAGCTCTGTGATGTGACAGAGAGTCCAGCCATTTTAAGGTCCGCGGAACCCTCATTTTTAAAACTCACAGTCCGACTGCCATTTTTGAATTTCACGGTCTGCGGAACAGAACATTTTGCAACGTACAATCCTTGGGCGGCAAAGATGTCAAATGAACAGATATTTTAATTAAATTGATGGAGAGTCCAGTAGGCACTTCCATGCCTCCAACCAACGTCATTATATTATGAGATATTTATTTTGGATGCGTTAGTGAAGATAGAAATTGTGTTTTCTACAAGATTCTTTTATTGATTCGATGTCCCGAATGAGAAGTTTGCTTTCCACTTTGCCATTTTTTTGCAACTGAAGATCACCGTCAATTTTACCAGAATTTTAAATATATATATATTTACACAAAATATTTATTGAACAAAGTGTTTATTTTTAGATAAAAAGTAGTTCACATGACACGAAGGAGCAACCGCGATGTGTATTAATTGTGGTTGTAGGGCTGATCTTCCATTAGTTACACTACAGTTTTTTCATGATGGCGTTCGATGCTGCTAAATCTTCAGTGTGCTTGTTGTGACCAGGGACGTCACTTACTCAGCCATCCCCCTTCTATTGGCATGGCGGAACCCGTGATTTGTGCGGCATAGGGAGAACAGATGAAGGCCACGTACTCTGCAATCTAAAACACGAAACATCAGAATCCATGTGAAAGCCTGTTCTCATATTTCACATTACGCTTATTTTTAGCTGAGGCAAAGAAAAGCCAATATTTCCATGCAACAAGAGCAACATGTCAAAATAAATACAGGCCCTACATAAATATTTAAAGCTTTCCCCAGATAACGCTTACCAATTTTGTAGTCAAACGTGTTAAACGTTTCCAGTTAACTGTTTTATAATGTTGATTATAAAGGGTAACAAAAAGATCTTGAAACTTACATGCTCTGGTTCTATGAACGTTTTCGTCGGTTGTCGCTTTGACACAAAATCGACCTGGTGAAATAAAGGCGTTTTGTTGAAATATTTAAGGCAGTGAAAGCGGAAGACACTAAACTAATTATCAGGCCATTGCCTGATACTTTATTTCTTAAGTAAAGGTCAAATATTTATTCCACATATTTATTCCTTTTCACCCAGAGGCTTTGAATGTAAGTTTATTTCGAATAAAGTATTATCATCATCATTACAAACACTGAATCCGGTTTTGGATTGAAAAGTATTACATAATTTGCATAGCAGGACAAGAAATTGAAAAGTTAAAAAGTTTCCTTGCTTACAAAGGAGAAAATCTTCCGCCTTAAAAGTCGCATAATATTTTTCAAACAAACTATTCTTGGCAATAATAAAACTTACTTTGGCCTGTTCAAGAGAAATTCCTTTGTCCTGTACAAATTGTTTTATCTGTTTTTGTGTCACTAGAAAAAAATGAAAGCTGTAATAATCAAGTAACATCAGCTACTATATAAGGCACCGTTCACAATGAATTTTGTCGATATTACTAATGGAGGCGTGTTAGGCTGTTATTCTGATTGCATTCAGCGAGAGCCCATTAGCTAGATCCACAATACTTTGTGAATGGTTTCTGTAAGTTTTTCGGCCTCTCTCTCTCTCTCTCTCTCTCTCTCTCTCTCTCTGTTCATTCACCTTTGCTGCCATCTTTACATAAACACTGTGTAGCAGGCAACCTCAGAACAGGTGAGTATTTTATATTTTCCTCAGCATCATGGTCTGATGAAGAGCCGACATATTTGACTTTCAGACAGAATAGTGACGCTCTTATGCTTAACGGCTTACATACATAACGGAATACGAGTACTATATAACGAGTAGCAAGAGGCTTTTAAATATGCCTATGTAGAAACTGTAACAGTGATCAAGGTAATTAAAAAATTTAGCTTATCCAATGTCTATAAAATTTATCCTCTCAGCACAGTTATGAACTAAAGTAGTTATACAGGATCGCCAAAACACTTAAAAAGCCAATGGCTCCTTTTGTAAGGTGCACTTGCTGTCTTTTAGGGACCATTCCCAGGCCCTATCGTACTAGCTGTGGATCGATCTTTTCCTGAGGGGATTCTCGCTAAATTGCAATTAACCTAAGCGGCTTAGATGTCTGTCATACATTCTGAAGGTACTAGGGGTTAATAAATTATCGTTTAGCAGCTTCAGTAGGCGTGCCAGACATCTAAGCCGCTTAAGCTGAAAGCAACGCAGCGCAAACCCCCTCGGAGATGGATAGATCCTGTTAAATCGATCTATGTATGGGAACCCAGTCTTCATCGTATTAAGTGCTACGCAATCGCTTTCTTTCATCAAAAAGGACAATCTTTGCGTTGCTGGGCACTTTTCTCATAAAATAATCAGTAATTTCTTACCGGGTGTGTCTACAAATCCTGGACATAAAGTGTTGCAAGTGATGCCGTAGTCAACTACCTCAAGCGCAATACCCTGTAACGAAAATAAGCTACGTTTACAAAAACTGTTGGACAAAGTACAATGGTGGAAGAATTCCCCACTTCCTGCCGTTGTTGTTGAGATCTGAACGCAGTCCAAGACAATGTGGGATTGGTAACAGTATGGCAAAATTACGGCTGGTTTCAAGACTGTGTAATTCTTTTTTTCATCATTAGGTGTATTTAATATTAAAACTACACTAGGTTACGGAAACCATGCCTTTTTAGTGTGACTTAACTTCTAGTTATATTGCAAGAAATGCATGTTGTTAGGACGACGAATGGGACTCCAGCAGCGTTTTTTATTTTTTATTCTAATTTGTTTATAACAAATCTCACCTTTGCCAATCCCACAACGCCATGTTTAACTGCGCTGTACACTGCTTTCCCTGCTGTTGATATCATACCGTGTACAGAGGAAGTGATGAGGATGCGCCCCCAGCCTTGCGTGAAAAAAATGAAAAACCAAGACCAAAATATTGACAGTTGTGTTTGCGCTCTAAAACACTTCTCACTGCGATGCATAATAAAAATATCTGTCACCATTTTCTGTTTTTTCACATTTTCACTTTTTTCTCCGTTTGTCGGTTTCTTGGTAGCCCAGTTAAAACTGTTAAACCCTGATCACAACTCAGCATCGGCTTACCCTTTTTCTTCATGAGTGGTATAAACCTTTTGCACAGGTGAAAAGGAGCTGACAGCATGACTGCCACCATGTCGTCCCATTTCTCCTCAGGGTAGTCCTCAACAAGGCAGACGTGGTTGTATCCTTAAACGTAACCAAAACAGTGGGCAACCCCTTTTAACACATACTAGACAGTAAAAATACTAATATCGCATGGGAGTAGGCGATTCGGGGCATATTAAAGCACTACAGCTAAACACTTTAAATGCAATATTATAACTTTTGACAACAAAAGAAATAAATCACATGTCTAATTCAACAATTTAAAAAACAAATCCCATTTCGTTTTGCAAGTCACCAGCGTTTCAGCTGCCTTTTGTACGCGCACCTGCATTGTTTATTAGAACGTCCACGCCCTCTGGATATAACTTGATGACACTGGTGAACAGCTCATTGATGTCAGCAACCTTACTGAGGTCTGCGGGAATGTAATCAACTCTACAGTTATATTTACTGAAATAACAGAATTTGAAAAGAAAAATAAATAAATAAAAGAAAGTCTACTCTACATTTTCTATTTTTTCTGTTGGAGGAGTATTATATCTTTAATATGATTATATCGGCGGTATATGCCGCTTTCTGGCAACGAGGAGCACTATGGTTATGAAATAAAATGTATGCAGGGGTCGAAATCTAAATGTGGAGAACGTAATCGTGGGTCAAAGTTTTACATGTAAGCCTATGTCCTGATACTGTTAACTGACTGTTGGTCTATGCGATCTTTCCAAAAATAAACCCCCTACCTGAAGGATTAGACCACGGTGGAAGTGAAGAACAAAAGATTCAGACGTGGTGTAACTCGCATAACCGCACGTCTCGCATGAATGCAAATAACGGGGCCGTAGCGATAGTCCGAAGGTTCAATAGTCCGAAGGTTCATTGGTCCGAATGTTCACTATAGAACCTTCGGACCAATGAACCCTTGATTAAAAAATCGATGAAAATGTTACCACTTTTCGGACCAATGAACCTTCGGACTATCGAGACGCCCCCGTTATAACCCGCTAATGGACCCGTGGTCTAAATAAGATAGACCCCGAGTCAGCGAGGGTTATGTGACATCCACTCGTGCTTCGCACTCGTGTATGCCACATAACCCTCGCTGACTCGGGGTCTATCTATTACATAGACCGGTTATACAATGGATGTACGTTACAGACCCCTAGGTATCACATATTTAGACCACGGTGGAAGTAAAGAACAAAAGACTCAGACGTGGTGTAACTCTCGTAACCACACTTCTTGCATGAATACGTTATAACCCGCTAATGGACTGTGGTCTAAATAAGATAGATCCCTCGTGCTACGCACTCGTGTATGCCACATAACCCTCGCTGACTCGGGGTCTATTTATTACATAACTGTTCAACTAGGTACTGACAACAGGGGCGGATTTAGGCCGTCTTCTGAGCCCTCCGAAAGACGGTCAGATTTTCAAGTTTACATTGAAGGGTATCCGATTTTTCCTGTTGGAAGACGGTCAAAATTGGAGGATGAATCAACAAAAATAATTTGGAAGACTGTCAGTAAATAGCTCTGGATCCGCCCATGGACAAGTACAGATGAACGCGATTATTCCTATGCCTATACCGGAAGTTAACACATCCCGACACATCACCTGGTAAAATCCTCCTTCAGCTTACTGATCAGCTGCTCGTCACCGAAGCCTGTCAGGATGATGCTGGCACCCCTCTTTGCCAAACCGTGGGCAATGGCAAGCCCAATCCCACTGGTGGAGCCAGTCACTAGCGCGACCTTGCCATCCAAATGCCGTTCAACGCTCATTATAGTATATATATTTAACCTTCCCAGTCTCGAATGAGCAACTAAAGAGGCGTGCGTCGATAAGACAGAAACAGCAGAGGCGTGCAGAGAGCGGGCACGTGGCGTCGCACAGTGCTGACTGATAACGACACTAAAACCCCATTTCCACGGATTTTTAGATCGATCTATCCCTGTGGGAAGAGTCTCACTAGATTACTGTCAGCTTGGCCGGCTTAAGCGTCTGTCCCGCCTACTAAAAGCTGTAAGTGGGTAATTAACTATGGTGCCCGCTCGGCTGACTGCATGGAGTTAGGTTGATCTAAAACTTAATCTTTAGATCGATCTAAATCTCTGGGAAAGCACCCTAACAGCTGTTATCCGGATATAAGTCCTTCTACACTGAACAGTTTTCATTGGAAATTCGAAACAAAGCAAATAAAATTATTAACGAACATGTCCGTTATTGCTATTTATCAATACAATTAATTCACTTGTTTATTGTACTACATTCACTGTATGATTTTATTTTTAGAGAGCGCGTTTTTTCAGCACCTAGTGTGACGGAACCTCACAGCTTTTTACCATGTCGTGCATATTTAATTTCCCCACATCCAACTGTATATTCTAAAACCTGCGCTGATTTCCAGAAAACATCTGAATTTAGAGAAGTATAGGTAGACATTTTACATTAATGGAACAAAAGCCTCCTGGGAATACGGCTCCTACGATTGACATCATTTGTTCTGAGAAAATCTCTCTTATGTGTTTTGCTGCATTATTGATTGCATACTTGAAAGTATAAAAAAGGGAAACAAAGCAATTGTAATCGTTTTGCTTGTATCGTTTCATACAGAATAATACTAGAATGACTCTCTCAAATAGAATTGTGACTGAGGTATGCTGCAAAATGTGTATAAGTTGAAAATTTGGAAATCAATAATTAATCAAAGATAATTTGGTGAACTAATGCCAAGGCTTAAGATAAATAAAAATCATTTCAAAGACCAATTGTCACTGCTAAATAAAAAAAGTGTATTTGTTAATTACATTATAATAAAGATAACTGTGTGATGGTTTTATTGAAGTTAAGACAGTTTAGATGATTGTTGAAAAGATTAAAAAATAGACGAATGAATTTTTATTTCTAAAAACTTATTGTATGATAAAGCAGGATTGCGAGCTGAATATGGGGTAGGATATTCTTTTTCCTCTAATTATAATGCTGTTCGCGCATGTCCACAGTGTTTATATAGCTGCCTTCCTAGATTGGTTGTGAATGGGTAGAGGGCATGCATACTCTCCTGGACATTTTTTCTTCATTTTGGCATTTTGCACACGTTTCTATGAGGATTAAAGATGACCGTTTCAATCTTTACTGCAGGCCTATTTTAAAACACAGCAAAGCTATTATTTCAGAGCAATACTTACTTTATTTATATGGCCTGCTTTAAGTAGACTACAATTTGGGGAGCTAAAAATATAATAATTTGAGGATTTAAATTCTTTTATGAAACCCACCCTTGGTCCCTTAATGTGTTTTACATGCTGGCGTGGAACGACCCTCACATTAGGTCTGTTTTTATTGATTTGTACAGATAAACATAAAAAGGATCTAGTAGTTTTATAATAGCGCATTTTATGCAATTTAGCTGGCATTGATAACATTAAAAATAGATCTAAGGTATTTCTTACAAAGAATAAAATTATTTTCTGTTAATACAAAATTTCAACTAGAACCTGCCTCCCCAGAGTGCGTTTGGTATCAATCCCATAGGCAGATTGCACGATTGCACTGCTATTCAGTGTATTCTCCTACTGAAATGTACATGAGAGAAAAACTATTGTACCGCTGTGGTTGATATATACAAGAGATGCACCAGCTGTGTCACAGTTCAAGGCCACAGAACTACGTTGTGGGCTAGTCCTGAATAGTTGATCCGAGTAGATTGTCTAGTTAAATGTCTACTCTTATCTTGGATGTAGCATTCCATGGGCCTTAACCATCCCTGCGGAATATATAAACAAAGCATCTTATCTTGACAGGTACGTAAAAAAAAACGTGTGATAGAAGTATCAAGTCGTTGATTCTGTTTGGGGTCTTCGAATTGATGGTCGAGTGTTGAACACTAAATTCTATGACCTACTTGTACATGAAAGAGCTATATATTTCGAGGAACATTTAGTACAGCTGCAAGCCATATATCCAAATATCTAGGCGGGCAGTCGACTAGGGTAATGGGTTCGTGAGTAGATGGTGTATGCAGTTTATTAGAAACGCTAGTATTTTATGGGACGCTAGTATTTTGAGACAAATTTTTTTTAAATGGTGAGATTCACTTCAACAAACGACTGTATCATGTGTATATTTTCAGCACTGCATTCATCCCGTTATCATAAAAGTATTTCACTTCGTCAAGTTCATCACAAGGCTCTTTTCATACAGGTACAGACTATCAGATTTATGTTTTTCCAAAGGTACTGTGCAAAATAAAGGAAATAAAACCTGCCATGGGTTGTGGGGCGTCCATGGTTTCCCCAGGCTTTAGCGGACTATTTCACAGTGAACGCTACGGGAAAATAGGCTCGAGTGACGGACGACCACCACGCCCGCACCAAGCCAGAACACACAGCGGCAGCCCGAGCAGAAGCAGCTGGGAGCCGTCCCCAGGGTTCTCGGGCCTGTATAAAAGCAACCGTTATGGTAGGATAGGCTCGCCCGTCATCATAAAGTCAGAAGCATTTAAAGACAGCGGTGAATCACGACAATATGAAATACATTCTCCAGACTGAGCAGTAACTAGCATTCAGTCTTAACGGACACATTCGTCAATTGATTCGTTCAACGGTAGCACTGAGAGACAGAAATGCCTAGCATATTTGGATATCAAAGAAAAAATTTCATGAATTGTCAGTCAAAAAACGTTGAGATATGGTACACAAGCTCAAGAAATGGATAAAAAGAGGCAAATTTTAAGGCAACTACGTCAAAGAATTTAAGAAAAAAGTGGGCAATCCACGCCGTTCATCTTCTGGAAGCGTTTAGTTTCGCTGCTCAATGCCCGAGGTCCGTTTTTAACAATATGTCAATACTTCCAACAGGACACAAATGAACGTAACAAATGCAATAAGGAGTGCAATTTTTGTTGTTGGAAAGAAAAACGTCTATTTCTAGATGCGGAGAAGAACTAGTTTATTTACGGTCGTTTTTGAAAAAGTGCGCCAGATCTCAAACTTTATTTAACCAGGGTCAACAGGCAGTCTTAGTTGGCAGCAACAACTTCTAAATTTGTGTCATTTTCATTGTAGTTTTCTCAAAAGAAAAGTTGTTCGCGACGAAACCGATCGCCCCAAAAAGTTAAACTTCTTAACTAGTCACTACTACCTCAACAGCTAAGCACTGATGGATATATATATTGAACTTGAGTCAATGAAAAAACGTCTTCCAATAATTGCAGCCCATAACTTATGGCATAACTGCCATATTATTCATTAGAAAATAATATTTTTAATGTCAGTAGGAACCACACTGACCTTCAGAGATAACTTGACACCGCCAAAGGTATGATATAGTGTTAAGTTAGGTTTCAAGTCATCTCCGAAGCTCAGGGTGGTTGTCAGCACTTCTTTGGCAGATATAATTTTCAAATATACGCATGAGCGTACCTAGGTTTAGTCGGGTAATGTACTTTATACTTGAAATGCTATTTCTTTTATCGCTTGAGAACTTGACTTCGATAAATCGGACCACAAATCTTGCGTCACTGGTTTACCTTTTCCGATAATGAATGCCTACTGCACCTGTGATTTAAACGAGACCTTTGTTAACCATGTAAATCAACAGTGTTATAATTTCCATACAGTGCCCTGGACGAAATAACTTATAGTCTTCACAAAATGCATGTATTACTAGTTCAGTTGTATAATAATTGTACATTGCACCGGTACCAGTAGTTCATGATAATCGGCCTTATTGTTACGAAAAATGTATTTATGTAAAAATTTGTTCAGTTCAATCTTACTGATATGAACAAAGGCGACAGGTAAATTTAGTTCATCTTTTTATTAATTATTTCACCACTGTGCCATAGACCTATGTATATGAACTGCGCAACGCCCAGCCCCTGGGGCTTAAAAGACACTTAATATCCTTTAATATATTATACAAGCATTCTTGACATTATACAAGCATTCTTGACAGACTTTGTAATTGCAGTACATTTTGACACGTGATGTAGTTTGAAACATGCAATGCATGACCTAAGATTACTTTCCAAAATATTTCATGTACAAATACCATGTGTAACAACTCACATTATTTATATCAGAATGTCAAACCAGTAATACACCAGTATGTAACACACATTTACATTATTAATAATTCTCAATATTATGCATGACCACTCTTTGTACAGTATTTTAAGTAAAATCTTCAGCTGCCATATTTGATACAGTGAGTAAAATATGTAGAGAGCAAAATAATGTTCCTACTTTTGTTCAATTTGTAATCAAGTAAATTAAAACACTTATGTACATCATAAAACATCATAAAACATTCAAGTACATCTCTGGTTATGTAATAATACTTGGTGGATACCTGTATGCCATCTTCAATTCAATGTCGTCTTAACAAAATGTCACTGCCATATTATCATTCGGTAAGAAGGAATACTATGTGCGTCTAGTCACAAACAGCTTTAATTAACCTGATATACTTTTATGAACCATTGTATTACTCATCTACTCTATACTTTTTCACCAGATCCATCTGGTGCAAAAGTTACAAAATAAATATGTGATGTAATCCATAAAGAGTATCCATAAAGACATGAATACTAAGAAAGTAGTCACAGTTTCAGGAACACAGCTGTTTAAAAACAATTAATAGTCATTTTTAATTGGCCCATTTGTACCTTAGAGGCTGAATTATTCATAATGGAAGTGAACCCTGTGTAGCAGTCACCTAGCTGCATTACAGTCACCAACTTACTGATCATTTTTTTCTTCAAAGTTAAAAATTTTGTTGCAATTGGAAAATCTAGTGAGCCAAGTTTCGTTCGCAGTACTCGGGGTTATGTATCTGGCAGAAAAAATAAGGTCTAGCATCACAGCTATTTGTCTGCAGTGAAAGCCTGAATCCCAGTGATAGCTCTTCCAAGTATCAAGGCATGAATGTCATGAGTACCTAAAAATAAATTGTTTTCAATTTTAAATGTTTCAACTTCATTAGCTGTAAAAAAAGACATGCATGCATGATCAGATGGCACAGAAGATGGTACAGGATATAAAACAGTATTTTAAAAATACCGATACGCACACAAATAAATGAACAAGGTGGAATTGTACATTAAAAGAAAAGAATGGAAAATGGATCAAAATCTCTCTTTTGAAAAATTAAATGTTCATCTGCCTATCATTCAAATGTTTTAAATAATTTCTGAAAAATGATGTGCTTCTCTCAGTTAAATTTTTATCTCCTTTCCTATGTATCAATATCAGTTATGCAACAGGGACATTCCTGAACATTAAGGCTAAATAATATATTCATTTAAAAGTATAACTTAAATACTCCTGCACATCAATACAAACCAATATAATATTTTATAAGACATAATTTGACAATAGCAAGCAAGGAACATGTATAAATCACAAAAGATGCCCCACCTTCATATGTATTGACAGCTTCTAAGTTCATCGCATGCCTGATCACGTGATACTCATCACAAATGCCATTTCCACCCAGCATATCACGTGCAGCACGTGCAATGTCCAAGGACTTGCCGCACGAGTTGCGTTTGATAAGCGAGATCATCTCAGGTGCTGCCCTGTAATACAACAAAATCAATTTTTGACTCTAGTTATTATTTCTTGACTAGATACCGATTAAATATGCATGAACTTACTTCAGTAAGTATGATGATTAATTCTAAGTCTTAATTCCTTCATTTTATCGTTGACATTCTTTATTGTAAACACATTTCATACTATTATCACTGTTGAAATTTGACACTTAGTTTTGTTCTGATGGAATGACCACAAATGACCATTAACGAAATTATGTCATCTACTTACTTTCCATCATCTTTTAGCCTGCCTACTTGGACACAGGACTGCAGGCCTAGGGAAATCTCTGTAATCATGTCTGCAAGTTTCTTCTGAATGAGCTGGTTCTTGGCAAGTGGTTTTCCAAACTGTTTCCTAAAATGACAGATTTTATTTACCTTTTGTACTTATCTGTTACAAAAACAGGCTTCATGAAAAATATAAGAAACTAAGGTGCTTTGGGTTAGTATGAATATATATATTTATTGTGAAAGTCAAATATCAAGTACATGTACCACTTTGGGTTCTTTATAAAGATTACAGAAACCATGGACGCTGTCATCAACAGATGGCTGTCATTAAGAAATGACATCAAATGAACCTTACTGTAGTGCAAGTTTTCTACTGCAACTACATAGAAAAGCTGTGAGCATTGACAACTAACTAAAATTACAAGTCCAAAGGATCTGATGGCCCAGAAAAAAATCCTTCTTGATCTTAGCTTATCTTCATGTTATTATAAAAAATATAGATACAATGGGAAAATCTGACTATACATACCTTGCATTGGATCAGTTTGCTTAGATTTTTTAACTTTTGAAAACTTAATTTATCAAATAATGCATGAACAAGACGTCAACTCTTTACAACCCCTTTCACACATCTGTGTACTTTGTAAAAACTATTTCTGTGAGCCTAGCACATCAGCATGAATGTCAGCCTTGCAAATGTGTATCTGCATGTGATGTATGTTTGAGTGTACATGTGTAACGTAATGTATGCTCAGATGTAATTAGATTTAACTACAACAAAAGTCCAAGTCACTAAAAAACATTTATAATAATCTTTCCACTCTCCAACATTCTCTCGTGATGTCCACTGTCACAATTGTGCCTGGTGTGCATTTTACCACAACAACAGCAATGAATACAGTGCATGTCACACCTACCTGTCCAGTACATATTGTCTAGCTGTGTGGTAACAGAACTCTGCAGCACCAAGAGTTCCCCAGGCTATGCCGTAACGGGCACTGTTCAAACATCCAAATGGACCCTGGTGAGGATAATAAAAGACAAGAAGATTTATATCTACATCTTATTTTTTTTAACTCTAAATCAACATAAAGTATATCCAAATGGTACAGGGATTTTTTTTATTTAAAAAAATTTGTACAGATATATGTATTTATTTGCACAATGAACAGTATCTGACTTAACATTTCACAGAATAGCACATTAATTATTCCTATCACATATGGTTTCCTTGATTCAACAAGTTCCATTTTTCAACACTCACAGCAAGACCAGAAACATTTGGCAGCATGTTTTCTTCAGGAACTTCGACATCTTCCATCACAATTTGTCCAGTGGTTGAGGCACGCAGAGAAAATTTTCCCTCAATTTTGGGTGCTGATAATCCCTTCATGCCCTTCTCAAGTATGAAACCTTTTACTCTGTTGTTTTCTGAATCTGTTTTTGCCCACACAACAAATACATCTGCTATAGGCGAGTTGGTGATCCTAATAGAGATCAATATGCATATTAATAGAAATAGAAACAAAATGAAGCCAGAATTTTCCATGATGCTTCTTTCATTTAATGCCTTGATAAATTTAAATGAACTATTGCTCTAGTTGGTTACTAGTATATCTCTCTAGGTTGAAATAAATCACAGATCTGGTAGGGCATAAATAATTTCCATATTACACATACAAACACAATCACTTCAAATGCACTTACCATGATTTAGAACCATTTAAAGTAAAAGTTTTGCTGGCAGGATTGTATGTTGCCTTAGTCTCCATTCCACTGGGATCACTGCCGTGGTTGGGTTCTGTCAGCCCAAAGCATCCTATCAGCTCTCCCTTGGCTAGTACAATAATCAAATACAGATGACTGTGTCAGTAAAAAGTAGAAGCAATATAAAATGTCATGGAATTCTTATTGTTTTAATTTCATTTCTGACACATACTTCATCAAAAGCCACATTCTAAACAACCCCCTCCACAGATTTTTATTGGAATTCCCAATCACAACTTATACATGTACATTTATATACATATGTGTAGTGTGCTCAGCAAGTTATCTCCAACCCACCTTTCTAGGAGTTTTCTGCCCTGATGATGGCTTTTTAATATATTACCTCCACCCTCAATTTTGCAGACTAGGTGTATTTGACTTATCCTTTTTAAGTGTTAATTCTTGGTTGGAAAAAAAGGTTGCTATACACTGATTTACTGTGCATCAATATCAAAATATGAATTGAAAAAATGTATCTAGTCCCCACCATCTTACCTAGCCTGGGAAGATATTTCTCCTTTTGGGCTTCTGAGCCATAACTATATATTGGATGCATTACTAGGGAAGACTGGACACTCATGGCTGAGCGATAGCCACTGTCCACTCTGCAAAAAAAAAAAATTCTTCATAATAAGATGGATTACCCAAAATAATATCACATTAATTTTTTTCAAACCTTCTACAACCCATGTCTACAGCCTGGTCATGTACATATAACTTCATAATTATGTCATGCTGCATATCAATACATGACCTAACATGGCCCAGAAATCAATCAATCTCATCTGTATCACATAACAAACAGTAACAATAAAAAGTGTCTAAGCAAGCTAATCATATAAACTTAATTAACATAAAGAACCCTTATTGTGTACAAAATGATAAATAGTTACTTATTTCATAGAATAGTTCACTGAATATTTGTACCAAAAATTTTCTTTGATTAAAAAAGGCTCATCCCCAAAGAAAAGATAGTATTCCAATTACCTTTCCAATTCTCTAGCAATGAGGCCATATGCCACAGATGTTGTACCAGCACAGCCATATCCCTGAATTGTAGGGCCAAGAACTCCTAGCTCTCCCATTTCTGGGATGATTTCCCTGTGGAAAACTGAAAATTAAATAAAAATAAGATAAAACATCACCACAAGAAGACCAGTGTCTATATGTCTAACATGAATTTATTTCTTAAACTAACTGCATTTAAACAACCTGTAATTGACAAAAACCAATGTAAATAATGATAGTGCTGAAAAATAATTTTACTCCAAGTACGAACACTGCTTAAAAGGGTTCCCTTTGTTTATGTAATAACTGTAATTAATAGCATTAAACTCTGTAACATATTTTTCTTTCATGTGAGCAATCCGGTGACTATTTGCAGTTAAGTAATGCTTTATTTTGTACAGTATATCATGTCTGTTTTCTGTGTGTTTACGTGCATATGTTTATTTGTACTTGTGAGTGTTTTTTGCAGATCTGTTGTATTGATTTTACGTACTTTCATGTCTGTTTGCTTCCACTATCCTTGGCATAAGACGATCTGTGCAATAACTGCGGAATTGATCTCTGAGAAGTATTTCTTCTTCTGTCAGCAGGCTTTCCAGGTTCAGGGCATCATGATAATCAAACTTGGCTTAAAAAGAGATTAATTGGTAGTATATTATTGCATTAGTGCATTAACTTTTAACAATCAAGTTTAAGAAATTGGCATAGGGCTGCACTGTTATAAATCATTATTAATAATAATGAAAAACCCTTCAAGCATGAGTAGAATTCTTTTATCATTAGGCCACTTATCAAGCTAACAAAGAATACATTCATCCATACTATATGTTTATACTGCTGATTATCTAAACCATTACACAGTCAAGAAATATACTGGATATGTCAAATGACATAAAAATGTCTCTGGACATTACTTACCAGTTGGTTCTGATTTTTTTACTTCCTGTTCTTTCTTTTCTGGTAAGTGTTAAGGATGATTTACATACACAATATATGAACTGTTTTAATTAATATGCATGCATGTGGCTATGAAAAGGCAACTACTAGTAAGGCACAAACACTTAACAGATCAATTTAATTTTGGAATTTTTTTTTCATTAAAATAACATTTATTTAAAACCATTTAACAGCAACTGTGTCATTTCCTTGCAAAGACTTTTTCTTTTTTATTCTAGGTTATCATGTTTTCAGTGCATACAATTCTGTAAGGAGGTGTGCCAAAATCCTGCAATCTGATTGGACATAAGCCATTTAGGCAATTGGGTCTTACATAAATTTAACATCAACTGAAACAAACAGAATCTTAAAAGAAATACCTTAAAACTGACGATATACATAACATGACAACTCTTCTTAGTACCTGATTGTAGAGACTAAAGTCCAAAAGTAAAAAAAAAAATTAAATGGTCCAAGGTCTACACTGCAGTAAGGCACAAATCAGATAACAAGTTAATGCTTACTGCATTGTACTAACCCACTTGGGAAAAACATTTAGTTTTCAACTAAAAAGGATACGAGCTGCAGCAGTACCAAACGTGCGTGTAATACTACTGAAATAACTTGTCCTGCGGCCCAGAAGCCTGAAAACTGGTTTTCCGAGGGACATATTTACACTTCGTGTGCCTGTGGGAGATGTTGTGATGACGTCACTAGATGTTCCGAAGTAGACAGCACTGGCTGTTTTGTAACATTTGATATTTTATATTTGCGCCAACAGAAAACATTTTTCGTTAAATATTTCATTGAAAATTATCTTAATTTGATTCCATGCGTATAAATGGATACCAACCGATGAAAAAGTAATTGAATGTTTACGGAAGTTAGCTTTACTGCGAAGCTACTGCGAAATGGAGGACACCACACGTGAAATCCTCGAGAGGGTTGAAAAACTAGGAAAAATTGACACCTTAGAGCTAGCTGCAGAATTAAATGTAGATCACCAAAAGATAGTTGGAGCAGTGAAGAGTATACAGTCGGCTGGAGATGTAATTTGGGTTTTATTTTAATACATAACATAGTAGTTTAATAGTGACGGAAGCCTGATGCAACCACATGATATCAAGATAATCTTAGAGTTACTTGACATATGTTTCCGTATCTTTTTGTTCAACTTTTCCAAGATTACAATGTGACATAGTTTCTAAGATATTTTAAGTGTTGAAATATGAGGCTGATGCTTTATTTGTTGCCTTGGTCTATGTAGATAACAGCTACAGTAGATATTCTCAGTAGAAATAAACCAAAATGATCAATCAATCTCTACCCCCATTGAAAGTACAGTGATTACTTTATCGACAGTGACAAATGAAAATTGTATGTTCCCCATGGCCTTTTGAAATTTAAAGCTTAATGTCAAATCATTACTCCCCCTATTAAAATAATGATACTCACATCAGTAGGCCACTGTCATTGGCACTCCCTTGCATAAGTCTATCACCACACTGTTACTTCCCTGTATGGTTATATCCCAGCAGGAAGGCAGGGGAGTAACAATGTGGGGTGGTTACCAATTTTCCGAACTAAAATGCCATATGCTCCTTGATAATTCTCAAAAACTTTTTTGAGTTCAAAAATATTTTTGAAAAGTGTAGATCACACACTGATATACTAATGCTACGCTCACATCAATGGATCCTATATTTTTAAAATTCTATCTATAGATATGATCAAGTGTCAAATATCCCTTGGATAGGAAAAACAAATACCAGGGAATGTCTGAATGACTCTCATGAAAAAACTGAATATATTTCAGATAATAAACTGTGAGCAGTGTACCAGCAAGAAATGGGAGTTAACTGAAGAGGGCAAGGCAGTTGTTGAAAATGGCAGCCACGAAGCTCTGGTTTTCAATGCTGTTCCAGTAGAGGGCATTGCACAGTCTGACTTAATGGTAAAGTCAGCATAGCTATTGTTTTAATCATTTGATGATCATTAAAAGATTTTTTTTTTTGATATTTATGAAGTGTTGTACTTTTTAACAAAAGGAGTGTGCATTATGTGTTAGTATGGTATTTAATTAATGTTATTGTCCATTCTAAACAACAGTTTGCTTATCATTTATCTTTGATTTTGTTTGGAGAGTGTATTGCAAATGTCATGCTGAACTTGCATTTTTTGTATCCCATAGCAATCTGTTCCAAATGCTAAGATTGGCTTCAGCAAGGCAATGTCAGGTGGTTGGATCATGATTGACAAAAAAGCTGAAGGGGGACCAAGAGTCTTTAGAAAGGTAAACAATATGCCGTGATTTTAACAATGTCTGAACATACTGTTTTTATGGGACTTCACTTTTATTAAGGTTAATTGGCCCGTGAATACTTACTGTGAACATGAGAGTTGAATAATTATATTCTGTGTGCATTCTCAAATGAAATTGAACTAGAGAACACACAGCATGATGGTATGTGAGTAATTAGAAATTATGATTTCAATATATTTATTCAGGGTGTATTCATAGTAGTTTTTAAATTTGAATTAAAAATTTTTAAAATCCTTTGACACAAGACCATTCTGGGTTGCTTTTCCCTTTTCTCTCGTTTTTTATGTGAACTCATTGAAATGTATCTCTCATATGTCAGGTTGAGAGCATAGAAGATCTTGTTCAACAAAGTCTGATAAAGTTACAAAACTTACAATTGGATGGCATCACAGACCAGCAAAAGACAGACTACAAGAAGAGAAAATTGATACAAGAAGTGTGAGTATGGCAGAAAAAAATTTTTTACAGCATCACTACAGAAACGATATATTTTATTTGTGATGAAATGTTTTTAAAAGGCAGAGTAAAGGCAAAATATCAGTTTAAAAGATGGAGTAAGAAAGGTGTTTTACAGATTAATTGTATTTTCAATTGTATTAATCATTTTACTTCTTTTCTGCATGACAATTTAATCTGTTGATATTTATTGCTTGGTTTTCAGGAAAATCAATTCATTCATTGTAACCAAAGGCAGCAAGTTCAGTCTCACAATATCAAAACAAGAAACAGACTTGACTCCAGAGATGTTGTCTAGGTAAATGTATGCTTCTTCTACCATACTTACCATACTAGCATTCTTAAATGAAAAGTTATGATTGCATAAAATTATGTTAGTGATGAAGTTCGATCCTTTCTCAAAGAATGAAGATGATTGAATTTAATGTCATAATATTTTGTTTTAAGCAACAGTGACTGTAACTTTTAATTATTTGTTAAGTTACACATAAAAGGAGCCATAAACTGTATTTGTTAGAATAGACGAAGGAAGATGTATAGAGGTAAAATGCTCTTGTTTATTCTGATTAGATGCTTATAAAATTTATTTAATTCTCAGTGGTTCTTGGAAGGAGCATACTTTCAAACCATACAACTTTGAAGCCCTTGGTGTCTTGCCAGATAGTGGACACCTGCATCCTCTCCTGAAGATTAGAGCAGAATACAGACAGATATTCCTAGAAATGGGGTAAGAGTGGAACTCAGCATCTGTATGGTGATATCAGTGCATGTGATAAATATGCCATCAGTGTATGAATGACGCATGAGCAAATTATTGCAAAATACTCTCAAGATGTATATATGTATGCATGCATGCATGTTGTTTTTTTCTTGAATCCGTTTGATCAATCTTTTTTAACAATGTTTTCTTTGCGTTTTCCAGTTTCTCAGAAATGCCAACCAATAACTTCATTGAAAGCAGTTTCTGGAATTTTGATGCCCTGTTCCAGCCACAGCAGCATCCAGCAAGAGACGCACATGATACCTTCTTCATATCAGGTAAGATTATTATTAAAAAGTAAGTGTTCAGAGCACCAGTCAGTCACAATAAGTTTCAACATGCAGAAAAATCAATTATTAAGTCGACGTGTGATTTGCACTAGCATGATGGAATTGTTTGTTGTTTGTTTATGAATGTGCTTTGCTGAACTTAATTGTCTGGATTTATTTTCATGTATTTTCATTGAAAATGATTGGTAGGTGAACCTGCTAATATGATATAATCACTTGTGTGTTTTTTTAGATCCAATGTATGCGGATGAGACCAAACTTCCAGCAGATTATGTAGCCAAAGTAAAGAAAGTTCATTCAGAAGGAGGATATGGCTCACAAGGGTGAGTTCCAATTTTTCAATTTCTTTATCAGTATGAATTGAGAAATTAAATTCTTGATGTTTAATTTTTTTCAACTTGATAGGGTGACGTAGAGAAAGTGTAAAACTTCATGTTTTACCTGTTATATGTTGACTGATTTTGTCTGTTCTGAACATTTTTACGTAAAGGGAAAATAAATATGTATATTATTGCAGTTTTGTACTCAAGTTTCATGTTCTCACAAATAGCTGGTGTGGAATTAGCCTGCTTCGAAACTCTGAGCTTCAGTGTTGTTTCCTTACATAATTACTCATGCTCATGCAATGTTATCTGGATTCTAGGCTTACTCGGGCTAATTTTTCATGCCTTTTGGATAGCCAGACTAATGCATTGCTGAAACATTCATATTGTTAATCTTAATTTACTTGAATAAAAAAATGCATCTAAATGTTTAAAAATTATTTTTATGTTATAATTTGCTATTATATATGAATTTTATAGTAAAATAAATATGGACCTATTATATAAAATGCAGATGCATAATTTTATCTCATAGCCCTCAACAGCTTCAAAAACCAAATTTATTACCACCCGGTACCCCGAAATTCTGATCCTATGCAAGTGAACTTCCTCATTTTCAAATCTCGAATAATTATCCAACATCTGTGTTCAGCAACATTTGATTCAAGTTTTCCTCACTAATTGCGAGTAAGGCCTGGGGGAGGGGGGGGATCATCAGTTGAATAGGTCTAAAACTTTCTCACATGCTCTTCAGGGGAACTACAAAATGGGGATAAGTGAGTGAGCATTTGTGATTGGTCTAGTAAACTTAAATCATTCATCAGTGGTGGTACTTGGTAGGACCTTTCTTGAAAGATATAAGGCCTTAAGAATATTATAGATCTGATATATTTGAATTGAATGCCAGGGCTTTTAAAGCATTTAACAAAGTTTTCAGTGATTTCTAGTTAAAGTATGTTTTCGTGATAGCTTATCCAGTCAGTAGGATCAAAGCTTTCAGTCAACATATCTCATGTATATATATATTTTTTTCTAATTTTTTATCTACACAGCTACCGTTATGACTGGAAACTAGAAGAAGGAAAGAAAAATATTCTAAGAACTCACACAACTGCAGTTAGTGCAAGAATGCTGTACAAGCTGGCTCAGCAAGTAAGATATACAGATATTCTGTTTCTAAAGCATGACATTTATGACAAAGAAATCGGATTGATTGCCCATTTTTAAGGGTATCATAATGTAAAGTTATACTGTTGAGACCCCATTTCATTGCTAAAAATCATCATGTTTTATCACTTTAGATTATTTTTATATTCCATTCTTTAGAATAGTTTGTGTTTAAGTCTGTAGCTGGTAATGGAAGATAAAATGCTCGTTTTTATTCCCTGGGAATTCTTTTATTTCAATTCCTTAATTAATCTAAACTGGTTACTAGTTCGTTACTTAAGCATGGATTAATTTTGGCTCACTGAAAGATTAGACTTTTTCTTAGCACAGGAGAAGGGAAACTGAAGAAAGGTTAAAAATATGAACCAAAAACAAATGGTGCAGTGGCA